GACCACCATGTCAGTCAGGGACTTCCGACCGCGCTCGACGCTCTGCCTGCTTGCTCTCCCTTCTTCAAAATGTTCTTGACGGACTCTAAACTACAGTGGTACTACATTGTGAGCAATAACAAAGTCTAAGTGTTCCTAGTTAATAAACGGCAACTGTTCACCGAAAATAACTGGCCGTGAGCTACATACACATTAACATTATACCGCTCACAGTTTAGCAAATATAACTAGATGAAGCTGTTTGTTTTTTTTTTCCTCTTAAATTAGGAAGTGCCAATTCTCTGGAACTCTTACGATAGAATCAACTTCAGTAAAAGTTAGTAGAGAGGCTGGAACTTTAGTCAAAGTAAGTTTTTGGGGCATTAACTGGCACGTAGCACCAACACACCACCTCAAGGACCAATTAAAGCCCCTGCTGAGCTGTTCTACTGCCTCCTCAACAGCGGGCTGCAAGCTTGCAGAGCACCACAGAATAGTAAACCTGCTCATCAGGCCACTCTCTAGGTCATAGAGAACTCACACTCATACTCCTTGAACTAAACTAGAAGCACAGGGACTAGAACCTTTTTCTCCTAAAACTTCACAGTTATTTCCTCAGAAAGGAAAGGAGGTAGTTTAATGAAGAAACTATTTCCCACGTAACTGTAATTTGCACATTTTGTCGTGCGTTTGAAACTGAAAACTGAATAACTAGGGGGATGTTTATGTAAAAGATTTATTGTAAGAAAGAGAGAAAATCTGTCAATTTAAGATTAATCAAAGACACTGTTCACTACGAAGGTCACGACAGTGTAAGATAGCCAAGCAGTAACAGTATGCACTCCCTAACCTTTGGAAAAGGTCAAAAAAGGTTGTCAAAACACTTTCTTCAAATGCACACAAAGAGACACAAAGACAAATTATAGAAAAAGGTACCCATTTATTCAAGGTATGACAAGGATATTTACAGTATTCATTTGCTCAGAATAAGATCCATCCTTATGATTTTTAAAGCAGCAATTATAAATTACATTTAAAAGGGGAAACGTTCCAAGTATGTTTCTGTTAGAGATATTTTTACAAGGACAGAAACACTTTAAGGCTAAGTTGTTTTGACCTTTGCTGCCACCCACATTTCTCTCAGCAAAACTGTCTCAAAGACAATGTTACCTTGAGGGATAAAGACTATGCTAAATTTAACATACAATTTTGTTCCCTCAGATGCTTTTCACAACAATTCACATCTGACAAAAATTGACTTTTTATTGAAAACAATGAATTAAACAGGAGTGAGATGAACTGCCTACATCCTGGCATTTCAGAGGGCTAAAAGATCATATACAGCAACACATTCATCACCTCTGAAAGGTATCATCTGCTTTCTCGTTGATGAAGGGACTTCAGCTTACCACGCAATTTGCTTTCAGTCAGAGCTCCATAGTCATGGGGTGAAATCCACCTTTCCCATCCCATTATTTTTCAAAAAGCAAGAACAAAAATCTTCAGGTAGCTGACTCCTAATGTAAACGATGAACACTGTCTGCTTTAAACAGTACTTGATTCCCACAGTACAGACTAGTGCTCTACCAAAGCAAACGAGTTTGCTAACTGCTGTAGTGTTATTCTCTACTCATTTTAACACACAACAGATCTATGGAGCAGTTAAAATTGGTTTATCTCTTGAGGTAGAAGCCACAAGTCATATTTAGCCCTGTCTGTAAACTATAACACACAAGCCATCAGGCAAACAGAGCCAATTTTTGTAATTTATAAAATAAAACCTACTGATTTTTCAGATGCTACCCATTGTAAATATAATGGCATTTTTTCCACTCACTGTGTGAGAGGGAAGCAAATTAAACATTGAGAATACTGGATTGTGGCTATTTATACAGTTGTAATGAAAACAAAACCAATCTTATACAAACAGACTTTGCAGCAACTTCCAAAAGGGTTGGTGTATGTGGATTCCTCTTAACTTAAAATATTTTGCAAAATACTAATTTTAACTGCGTAATAAAGAGAAAAAACCCAATGAGACCAAACAAACCACCCCACTCCCCGTCATTAGACCTTCAATATTACATAGCTACTTGAAATACTACCATTGCATTTTGGTAATTTTTTTTAGGATTACATTTAAGGGAAAAGAAAGTTCGACTCAACAGAAACCCACAAAGCCTGCACAAATACAAGTTACTTAATTATGACGTTTTGTTAGGTGAGGACACTACAGAACTAAATTTATTGGAAGTGCACAATGTTTAACATTCCAATAGAAGCAGAAACATGATCCTTGCATTAGTAGGGGACATTTATTCCAGGTTAGCCAAGAATCTCTGTAAAAGCAAAGTTGTTGGTGTGGCTGATGGGAGTTTTAAGTGATTTGAAGATGACCCAAGCAACAAGTTACAAAACATACGGAGATGGGCACTTGAGCTTTAGTTAGCCCCATTAGCTCAATTTTCTCCCCAGAGACTCACGTACACAGAATTTTAAGTTTTCATTTTATTACTGTAAAAAATAAAATTCAATTTGTAGTTCCAGAGTAAACAAAGAAACCTTAGCTTCAAGCTATTTAAAAACAAAGGTTCAAATTTTGCTAAGATACATTTCACGGGGTTCACATCAGCACCACAATCAAATGCTTTTTTGTGAACTAAGCATATTTCACAAAGTTTTCATGTTAGGACAAGGGGCTACATTCTCACCTGGAAGCACGCGTAGCGTGACTCATGGAGAACAAATTGGAAGGAGTGCAAGTCAGTTTCCAGAGTTCCCTCTTGAGCTCTACGTGTTCAGAACCAACATTTAAGACTGAAGTTACTAAAGATTGACCTTTTGCATATTCCGAAATGGAAGGCAAATACAATCAACTTACGTTTGGCTTCGAAACATTAAGATAACAATGTTTTATTTCAGCCACATATTTACAAAAGTGTTTAGAATAGAACCGTGTAGGGTTTCCTTTTTTTTAATGGTCATAATACACTTAAAGATGAATAGTCATCTCAACCTTCATGCAAAGATGCATCTCTTGTTACACAAGAAGTTTTCTGTTTGTCATTTTGCACTCTGAGCATAGCAAGCAGAGAGCTGGATAAGTTTGGGTCACCCTTAAAAATGTAGGCCTGTTTGCTCTACTGCACCTTCAAAATAAGGAAGTAGAATACAGGCACCGTTAATTCCACAAGGGTTCATTGCCTCTATCATGTTTTCCAAAACCAACAAAAGTAGTCTTGAATTGTTGTAACATGGGTTATTCCATGACTTTCACCTCTTCAGTTTACTTCCTGAACTCTGGAGTTACTTTCCTAGAAGCATACCTGCTGAGCTTCTTTTCTAATGTATATGGTTGACTATACATTTTAAATTAAACTGTTATGTAAAGAACATAAGGAGCTTTTCCTTTGTACACAACTTAATCTTTGTGCTGAGTATTCTTCAAAAGGATCTTATAAATAATACAATAAGTTTAGAAGCAGTCTTCTGCCCTCTTGTCATTATACCATGTTGTTGCTTTCTCCAACTTTATCTACAAGCTGTAGAAAAGGAAATAAAAAGGTTTTAAGCTGCGTGACATTTATGTACAGTGAAGTTACTCTCAAATATTACTTGCTACTTGCAGTTAGTACGCAACTGAAAATGCGAGTCAAATAGTACTCACCAAGGTCTCATGATTTAAGTTTGTGAAAATTAAAAATCTTACATTGCCATTGTGTTTCTGCATGACATGTTTTTCTCATATAGACATTAACAGTGCAACATGAAAATGCAACAGAATGAAAAAGGAAAGAATGCAGATAACACTACTAGCTTAATGATTAAAACAAAACAATACAGTATCAGCCACACATGCATTAGTAGACCAAGTAAGATATTTCAACTGACCATTACTGTGGATTCTCTTCTGAGCCTACGTAGGCTTTGAATAAAACATTAACAATTATCTTTATAAAACAAGATTTAACCCCATTATGATCAAATTAAATTACTAAGTAAGATCAATTGACAAAATTAAACATTCAATTGATCATGACTTGAGTGCCAGAACTTGGCCTAAGATTGGAACAGATGATTTTGAACATTAATTTTTAAAAAACAGCCTGCATATGTCTAAGTCACACCTCCTACTAATTTTTTGGCAGTAGCTATTAAAACTTTTGCTTTCAAAACTAGAGTTAAAAAAGCTCATGTTAAAATACATACAGAAATTAGCACAGTAAAAGTAGTTGACTGAAACACCCTAGATTACCATCTTTCTGGCACCCCTTAATTGCCTTCAAATCCCTGGCTATTTGGTTAAGAAAATGGAAAACTGCACTTGAAAAAACACAAATCTTAGTCAATTGCAAGATGTAGACTGGTGCAGTGGATCTTAATAATATATTGATGAATGATTATGCATCGTGAGAGTTTCTGGATTCACCATACCAGCTGCAACTTAACACTGAAGTGTTTGCTTTTATAGGCTACTTTTAATAAATATATCCAAATGCTACACAAAGAAGAACAGCGTCCTCCTCATCGTACTGACAGGAGAAGAGGCACAGAACAGTGGCACAATTCACCTATCTGGTGAAGCAGAAAGCAGAAGCCCAGCATTCCAAGTCACAATCCAGGGCTCTTTCTGCTTCACAATGTGTAAGGAGGGGCAGCTTTTGCAAAGGTGTCCTTTTGTTCCTCTTACATCTAGAAGACTCTCACTGGGAATGTAGGTATGATCTGTATGGTGCAAGAACTACACAGCAATACACCCAAAGTCGCTGCTCTGAAGTTATACTTGCTTTATTTCCGATGCATTTCTACTATTGCTATGACAATGGAATAAAAACCAGTACAGGCTTCAAATTTTACATGAAGTACTGAACACTTACCGAGCTTATACCGGGTAAATTCAAGAGATATCCGAGAACTGGAACTCTTCTAATAAAGCCAACCACCACAGGAAAGAACCCCCTTTAGGTAAGATATCAGAAGATTAGTTTAGATATAAAAAACTAATACATTCTCATATTGCTATAAAATGAGGAAATAGGAGGTATTTTTTAAACCAAGATTACATAAAATCTTGTAGCTTGTTAGCAGCACATTAATTTTACCAAATATTTTGACATATATTCAGTAGAGAAAGGAGAAAAACAGGAAAGAAACACCTTATTTTTAAGTGGACTTAATTTTCTTCATAACTGGCAACCCTCAGTCAGCTAAAAAATAACTAAAGAAAGAATATCCAACTTAGTCAACTGAACTGATGCTCCCAACTGATTTCTCAATATCACCATACACATTTTGAGATAATTTCTTTTTTACATTATAGGAAACAGTCTTGCAATATCCAGCTGTAAAACCAGCTGAAGTTAATTCTGAGTAATCCTCTTTGAAGCCATATATGGTATTCTTTACATTAACTAAAGAAGATTATAGAATCATAGAATGGTTTGGGTTGGAAGGGACCTTAAAGATCATCTAGTTCCAACCCCCCTACCACGGGCAGAGAAATCCTCCGCTACACCAGGTTGCCCAAAGCCTCATCCAACCTGGCCTTGAACACTTCCAGGGATGGGGCATCTACAACTTCTCTGGGCAACCTGTTCCAGTGCCTCACCCCCCTCAATGTAAAAAATTTCTTCCTTATATCTAATCGAAATCTCCCCTCTTTTCAGTTTGAATCCATTGCCCCTTTTCCTATCACTACATGCCCTTGTAAAAAGTCCCTCTCCAGCTTTCCTGTAGGCCCCCTTTAGGTACTGGAAAGCTGCTATAAGATCACCTCGGAGCCTTCTCTTCTCCAGGTAGAACAGCCCCAACTCTCTCAGCCTGTCTTCATGGCAGAGGTGCTCCAGCCCTCGGATCATCTTCATAGCAGAGGTGCTCCAGCCCTCGGATCATCTTCATGGCCCTCCTCTGGACCTGCTCCAGTAGCTCCATGTCCTTCTTATGTTGGGGACTCCAGAGCTGAACACAGTATTCCAGGTGGGGTTGCACGAGAGCTGAGTAGAGGGACAGAATCACCTCCCTCAACCTGCTGGCCATGCTTCTTTTGATACAGCTCAGGACACGATTTGCTGTCTGGGCTGCCAGTGCACATTGCCGGC